CAACAGGAATAACTGTTGAACTGACAAAACTGATAGGATTATCCTCTGCAGAATTATAGAATCTAAACCTTCCAGCCACCAGATGAAGGCTTGGTAAAGAAGCGGGTCAGGGTCAGGGTTGTGGCAGCACCTTTGTAGTCAGAAGATGCTGTGGCTGTTTAAAGTACCCATCTGCCATGGCCTGCACCCCACCCAGAGCATCAGCCTAAAGGATGAGCCAGTGTTCCAGGTTCAGGTTGCATGAGGGGGAGGAACTGTGGCTGTGGGTTCGCCTGTTTGCTGCTGTCTATGAAACTGTCACCAGAGCTTCTCTTAGTTTTACTAAACTCTGAATGGTCAGTGTCTTCCTAGGTAGTTTGCACCTAAAGCATTTAGGTGCCTACAGATACTGGCTGCAGCAGCTTGGGGCAAGGAACTCTTGTGATGGGCAAGAGACAAAGGAAGACATGAAGAGGAAGAGGGTGAAGGGAGATATGTGGAGGAAGGCAGCTTTTAACAACTTTCATGGGTACAGGAAAGGTACACATTGCCAGAGAGGGACACATCTCAAAATGACCCAAGGAAGAAGGCCCTGTGTTCTCACCTTGAACTCACCTTCAGGATCTAAGCTGGAAGTGAAGGCCAAGCTCTGAAGGGGCCCCCAGCAGAAAACCAACCTGCAAAAGCTAAGAGTATTTTCCCCCCTTTTCCTACCCTACTTCCACACACAATGGGCTAAATGATTATGTCCTCCCCGTTTCATATGTTAAAATCCAAACCCCAAAATGATAGTATTAGTTAAGATCTTCGGGAAGTGATAGGGTCAAGGGGATGGCACCGTCATGAATGGGACTAGTGGCCTTATAAAAGAGACCTCAGAGTTACTCTTACTGCTAAGTGAGGACACAGAAAGAAGTTGGTCGTCTCTAACCCAGAAGAGGCCCTCACCTGAACTTGACCATGCTGCACCCTGATCTCAGACTTCAGTCTCCAGAGCTGTAAGAAAATAAATGTCAGTTGTTTATACACAACCAGGCTGATGCTGTCACAGCCACCCAAGGCAGATGGCTTCCACTGTCCTACAACTGCAGCATGTCTACTCTGCGGACATTCCCATACGTGTGTATCACAGGTGTGTTTCTCTAGAGCAGTGTTTTCCAATTTTTTTTTCCACTTTAAGCCTTAGAAAGTAATGAATCTCACTTTGCCACCCAAGACAGTGTACACGTGCACTCACTCATTCAGCAAGTTTTGATGAGTGCTTACTGCACACCACGCTGTGTTCCAGGTGCCACTATGGCAGTGAGCAGAGCAAACCAAGGTCTCTGCCCTCTCATGGGGAAGAAGACAAGCAACAGAACACGGGGCATGGTGGAGGGTAATAAAAGGGTTCTGCAAAAAAGGAAAAGGAGAAGCGGACAGTTGAAGAGGCGGGAGCTTCGTTTGAAGCAGGTTTATTAAGGTGACTGAAAAAACAGAAGTGGAGATGGTGCGGGGGAGAGGCACCGAGGGACCTGAAGGAAAGTGTATCCCAGGAAGAAGGGACAGAGAGAGAATTTCACAGAACAACATGTCTTATTATCATGCTGCTTCCTCATGTTTTCTGAACTATTTATTTTAAAAAGCACACCAGTCCACTAAGTTGATTCCACAGCCCAGAATCATGGGTCACCATGTCCCACAGTTTGAAAGCAATGTTGTTGGAAAGGGGGCAGCATCCTCAGGAGAGCTGGCTGCCATCTGTAGCACCTTCCAAAGGCTCTACCTATTCACTAGGGACACCTTACCGTGAGGATTCCCAAGGACTCCCAGGAGCCTTGGACCTGCACTGTGCACACACCCTGACTGCCTTGGGCCAGGGAGGAGTGAGCTCTCTCTGGTCTATTTTATAAGGGCACCAATCCCACTCAGTCACCTCCCAAAAGCCCAACCTAACACTTGCACAGGCAGATTAGGGTTTCAACAAATGAATTCTGAGGGGACAAACATTTAAGAGAATCAAAATCAAATTATTACACATTAATGAATACACAAACATAATAAACTAGGGTTGGATATTTTAATATCAATAAGCCTCAAAGCCGTAGTTTAAGATGAAAATTAAGTATAAAATAATACTACCAGTGATAGAAAAATATGCACAACTGTGGATACATGCTGAGAGCACCACGTAGGACACACTGGACCTTGATAACACCAAAATTTGAAAGGGACTGTAGCCAGGAGGAGGTGTGTGGGATTAAGGGAGACTCAGAGGTCTTTCCTCCACTGGAGTGGCGACAGTACACTGGAATTTATGGAAATATCTCATACAAAGTCTCCACAGTGGCCAGTGGCTGGGCAGGATCTCAGACCAGAACATGACAAGAGCTCAGACATAAGGCAAAAAAAAAAAAAAAAAAAAAAGGAAATAAAAGGCATCCAAGTCAGAAAGGAAGAAGTAACATCATTTCTATTTGCAAATGACATGATCCCCCAAAGAGTGTACCCAAAAAGTCCTGTTAGAATTCACAAATGAATTCAATAAAGTTGCAGGATACAAAATCAATATACAAAAGATCAATAGTACCTCTATATACAGATCACAGCCTAGTTAAAAATATGTCAAGAAAACAATCTTGTTTATGATAACATAAAAAAATACTTAGGAATAAACTTCACCCCAAGGGGAAAATGTTTTTACACTAAAAACTATAAAACAATGAACAAAACTGAAGATGACACAAAAAGGCTGTGTGGATCAGATATTCTGTGTGGATCAGAATAATTGCTATTGTTAATATTCCATATAACCAAATCAATATACCTATTTAACACAATCCCTACCAAAACGCCAATGGTATTCTCCCCAAAAGAAAAAAAAAATCTATATAAAAAATTTTATATAGAACCACATACACACACCAACCTTAATAGCAAAGCAATACTTGGGAAGAAAAACAGGTATCATACTTCCTGATTTTAAGTGATATCACAATGTTGTAATAGCTAAAGCAGTATAGTACTGGCATAAAAACCCAAACAGACCAATGAACAGGACAGAGAGTCCAGAAATGAACCCACACATAGGTAGTCAACTAATTTTTAAGAAGTGCACCAAAAGGACACAATAGGAAAGGGACAGTATCATCAACTAAGGGTGTCTGACCAAATGGAAAAGAATTCAGCTGGACCTTTACCTCACACCATATACAAAATCCAACTCAAAATTGGTAAAAAAAAAAAAAAATTATATATATGTATATTCCAAAAGTTCATGCTGTAAACATTAAAAATATGTGAGACTGTATCAGACTAAAAAGCTTCTGCATAGTAATGGAACAATCAACAAAATGAAAAGGCAACTTACAGACTAGGAAAAGATATTTGCAAATGGCATGTCTGATAAGGGATTAATATCCAAAATATATAAAGAACCCTTACAACTCAACAGCTGAAAAAAAATCCCAACTTAAAAATGGGCAAAAGGGGCTGGGGTTGTAGCTCAGTGGAAGAGCGCTTGCCTAGCACGCATGAGGCATTGAGTTGGATCCTAAGCACCATATTAAAAAATATAAAGTTATTTTTTAAAAAAAAATCACTTAAAAGGGGGTATGGAAGGCAAAGGACCTAAACAGGCATTTCTTCAAAGAAGATATTAAAATGGGCAACAAATATAAGTATCCAACATCACTGGTCATCAGGGAAATGCAAATTAAAGTCTCTATGAGATACCACCTCACACCCACAAGAATAATGATAATAAAAAAGACAAGAAGCTGGATGCAGTGACCAACAGTGGCTCAGGAGGCTGAGGCAGGAGGTTTACGAGTTCAACCTCAGCCTCAGCAACTTAGTGAGGCCCTAAGTAACTTAGTGAGATCCTGTCTCTTAATAAAGTATGGGAAAAAAGGGCTGGTGGGTGCTGGGATTGTGGCTCAGTGGTAGAGAGCCCCTGTCTTTTCTCACCATGATCCCAGCACCCTACCTGGTTCCTAGGACAAATGACAAGAGTAGTGGCGTGGAGCTGGGAGGTGGGCCAGGACTTGAAGAATTCCTATGATCTTAGCTGAGCACTGGTGCTTGACCTTGGGGGTGTGATGAACCCTCTTTTGGGAAACATGATATACTCCCACATAGGTGACTCAGCAAAGTGGCTCAGCAGCTTCAGGGACTCCTGGGTCTCCTCAGCAGGTCCTCAGTGAGGAGGGTGCCTCTCAGTTGGGAGAGACCATTTGCTCAGGAAGTTTGAGATTATGATCCAGAGAGAAAGGTTGGGGCTCCAGGACCCAAGAGGGAAGAGAAGAAGGAGGCACTTGCCTGACTCCTGCCCTCTGTACCTCCAGGGACATGGAGAAAAAGTCAAGTAATTCTTGAAAAATAGAGCAGAGGGATTTGCTCTTCAATACGTCCAAATCCACTGTAAAGCAGAGGCAATAAAAACACAGCCCTCTTGAGCATAATTAAGAATCATCCCAGTAAAAAAGAACAAAAATCAGTCAAGCAGCCACACAAATGCATTGAGACTGCAGGCTGCAGGGTGTGGTGGCATACACCTGCAATCCCAGCCACTCAGCAGGCTGGGGCAGGAAGATCGTAAGTTGGAGGCCAGCCTCTGCAACTTAGAGACCTTGTCAAAAGTAAAAAATAAGGCAACCCTGGGTTTCATCCCCAGTATACACACACACACACACACACACACACACACACACACAACTGAAGAGAAAGCCAATGCAACTCCAGGGTCAAAGCAAAGAAAATACAGCTCTGTTATGACCTCTCATCACAAACCCCTCATGAGAACCCACACTGGCTCTCCCTGAAAAACCAAGCTGGACGACATGGTGGGATGGTGACTGGTCTCCAGGGCACACAGGCCAGCCCTGGGGCTCAGCAGCTTAGTACAAGATAAAGATAGTATCATTAAATGGCATGAGGACAACTACCAATTCATTGGGAAAAGACCAGATCCTTAAATCAAACCACGGTTTATTTTAAAAATGGAAAAAGGAAGCTGGGCCTGGTGCACACAACTACTGTGCCCAGCTACTGGAAAGACTGAGGCAGGAGGATGGCTGAGTTTGGGAGTTTGAGACCAGCCTGGGCAGCACAGTGAGACTCTCAGAAAAAGGTCAATGAGTAATGTGTTTGTTTTTTTAAAGGACTGTTTTGTATAAAGAGAAATAAGGATACTTATACACAACTAGGTCCCCAAAGGAAATTCCCTGCACTATCTTTCTTTCAAACAAGAAATAATATCTCAGGGCTGGGGTTGTGGCTCAGTGGTAGAGTACTTGCCTAGCACATGTGAGGCACTGGGTTCCATCCTCAGCACCACATAAAGATAAATAAAGGTATTGTATCCATCTACAACTAACAATATTTTTTTTTTAAAAAAATAATATCTCTTCATGACATGGACATTTACAGAACAGGAAACAAATGCTGAAATAATTTTCTCCTCAGACAGCCACAGAGTGTTCTTGTAAATTACATAATTGGAGGAATGGTAACTGGAGACTGAACCCAGGCCTCATGCTTGCTAAGCACACCCTCTACCACTGAGTTAGAGTTCAGAACCTGAATTACATTTTTAAAAAGGTATCCCTCTTCAAAGTGAGGATGTCTTATAGCTCCAAATAACCAAAGAATCTTAACTCCAACAGGCTTGGATTCTCTCAGTGGCAGAGCTGATTCACTGAGCCCTGCCCAGCAGAGTGAGGTCTTCCATCAGCTCACAGCCTCCACCCACCCAGCCCTGAGTCACAGGATGCAACCGTGTTCACACCCATGTGCTCTGTGATCTGTATCTAGATGCACTAGGGGATGCTACCAAGCAGGTTCTAAAATTCTACCATTCCTTCTGCCTGTATTAGCTCATAGATTATTTTGGCCCTTCTTATGTGTGGAGATTACTGCAGTCTCAGATTTTTGTTTATTAAAACTGTTCAATCAGTTACAGTCATCCTTCTTGATCGCCAAATTACTTCTAATTTGGCCACTGGAGCCCCTCCAAACTAGCTGCTGTGTTCTTTCATTGCCCTTCAATCTGAGCATTTCCTTGGTTTCCTACCCAGGAGGCCCTAGGTTCACTGTGGATGCCTCAGGACCCCAAATCACCAGCTATTCCTCCACAGAGTTCCCTTTCCCTTGGTGGCAATGCTAGGCACAGAATCTACTGATCACTATACTGGTAACACTGTTTTTTAATATTTATCTTTCAATTTTCGGTGGGCACAACATCCTTATTTTATGTGGTGCTGAGGATCGAACCCAGCGCCCCGCGCATGCCAGGCGAGCACGTTACCGCTTGAGCCACATCCCCAGCCCTGGTAACACTTTTTAAAGGCCCTGTCAATGAACAGATGTGGAAATAATTTTTTAAGTTTCCAACTCATATTTATCACTACGGGGAGTTTTCCCTGAAGAATTTGATTCTTGTCACCTCTTAAACTGGAAATTTTTGCTTCATCCTAAAATATACACAAAATAGGTTAAAATAGCATCAATATTACTAACATGGAAATTAATGAGTGACATTACCATTTTCTTTGACCCTTCTTGTTCCTGAAAAATGTTTCAACTAAGGATGCATAGTTATGATACTGGGTTCAAAAGTCTCTGATAATTTCTGTGTGGTTGATTTACCAATGTGAAATAACCTTGAGTATTCTCTTCATTTTCAATTTTAAAACCTGCTTTTATTTCCTTTTGCATATATAAATAATCATTTTCAAAAGTCAAAACTTCATAAAAAGGTATACATATATATACACATGTCCCCTCAACTCTTACATAAAAGATAACACGCTACATATAGTTTCTTATATTTTGCTTTCCTCAGTATAATAATATGCTGTGGTACAGTACTCAAATTTGTCAAATGTCACTCAATGTATACTGTACTGTTAAGCTACAAAGAAGCATTGGTGGCATCAGTGTGGGAAGTCTGTCCTAACAGTTATTAAGCTGTGGGGCAACATTTTTCACTGGCAACTGCACTGAGTTTCACCATGAAAACCAAAGGTACACAACATAAGCATGCTACCTACTCACATTCAGAAGCCCTACTCACCTCAAGTCCTCTTCAAATAACTAAAGTGACAGCTTGCTGCAGCAACTTGTGTTTTTTCAAAAACCTTTATCATCCAAAGATTAGACACATCTCACATCATATTTTCAAAATTTGGAATCAAGTCTGAAACATGACTTCAGCATTACATTTCTAGAAGCATCAGGAGTGCCCCATCACCTAAATTAATAATGTTCCCTTAGTGTTTTTCTATTTACTTTTTCAATTTAGTTTGATTATTTTGGAGCTTACGTGCACATGAAATGCCCACACAATTTCACACCCATATCAGTTACCTGATGTGCAGTAAGCTGTGACCATAAATGGCTTTACACTTTCACTGTTCACTTTTCCCCGTGCTTTCTCTGCAATGTGCACTTGATATGTTGGTGGATACTAATGTACACAGGATGTCTCAGGGCGCTCTCCCATTTGAGTCCTCTGACATGTAGTTAAGACATGACACAAAGTCTTCCCATATTCATTTTGTAGAGAGTCATCTAGCCCGTCTCCCTTGTGTTGAAGACTGAAGTTATACATGAGGGCTGCCACGTGATTACATTCACGTCACCTCCTGCAAATCCTCCTGGTGCAACAAAGTCTGACTCCACACAGGAGGAAGCAGTACATTTATTATAATTCAGGGTGTCATTCTCCTGTGAATCACCTGATGACTAGTGAGAGCTGCCTTCTTGCAGAAGGCTTTCCCACATTTATTACATGCATAGGGCTTCTCCCCTGTGTGTCCCTGTTGATGAACTGTGAGGGCCGACTTCATACCGAAGGATTTCCCACATGTACTACATATATAAGGCTTCTCCCCAGTGTGAGTCCGCTGGTGGTTGATGAGGTTTGACTTCACATAAAAAGCCTTTCCACATTCATAACATTCAAAGGGGTGTTTCCCTGAGTGAGTTCTCTGATGTACAGTGAGGTGTGATTTCATACAGAAAGACTTGTCACATTCACTACATTTGTAGGGTTTTTCATCTGAGTGAATTCTCTGATGTATGGTTAAGGCTGACTTATAGCAGAAGGATTTCCCACATTCATTGCACTCATGGGGTTTCTCCCCAGTGTGTGTTCGCTGGTGTTCAATGAGGTGTGACTTCTGGAAGAAGGTTTTCCCACATTCCTTACATTCATAGGGCTTCTCTCCTGTGTGTGTCCGATGGTGTTTAGTGAGGTGTGACTTCTGGAAGAAGGCTTTCCCACACTGTTTACAATCATAGGGCTTCTCGCCTGTGTGTATTCTCTGATGTTGACTGAGGGCTGACTTCATATAGAAGGATTTCCCACAGTCATTACATTTGTAAGGTTTCTCCCCTGTATGAGTTCTCTTATGTACAGTTAGGGTTGACTTGTGGCGAAAGGCTTTCTGACACTCATTACATTTGTAAGGTCTCTCCTCTGAGTGCGTCCTCTGATGATCGGTGAGGTTTGACTTCATGGTAAAGGCTTTCCCACATTCACCACATACATGGGGTTTCTTTCCTGTGTGATTCCTCTGATGGATATTAAGATGAGACTTCACGTAGAATGACTTTTCACATTCATTACATTTGTAAGGTTTCTCTCCAGTGTGAGTTCTCTGGTGTATAATGAGGGTAGATTTCATATGAAAAGACTTCCCACATTCAGAACATTCATGTGGTTTATCCCCGCTGTGAGTTCTCTGATGTTTAGTAAGAGCTGACTTTTTGTAAAAGGATTTCTCACACTCGTTGCAGTTGTAAGGTTTCTCCCCTGTGTGGGTCCGATGGTGTACAACAAGGATTGAATTCATAGAGAAAGATTTGCCACACTCATTACATGTATAGGGTTTCTCTCCTGTGTGAATTTTCTGGTGTTTAGTGAGATTTGACTTCACACAAAAGGTTTTCCCACACTCATTACAGTCGTAGGGTTTCTTCCCTGTGTGAGTTACCTGATGGATAATCAGGGCTGACTTATAGCAGAAGGATTTCTCACACTCAGTACATTTGTAAGGCTTCTCTTCTCTGTGCTTCCCCTGATGGACATGTAGGGCTGACTTATAGTAAAAAGATTTCCCACACTCAGTACATGTATAGGGTTTTTCCCCTGTGTGGGTTCTCTGATGGTCAGCAAATTGTGACTTCTGGAAGAAGGTTTTCTCACATTCGCTACACTTGAAAGGCTTCTCCCCTGTGTGTGTCTTCTGGTGTTTGGTGAGGTTTGACTTCACAGAGAAGGACTTCCCACATTCCTGACATTCAAAGGGCTTCTCTCCTGTATGGATTCTTTGATGATGAGTGAAGTTGGACTTGGCATAGAAGGATTTCCCACACTCATGGCACTTATAGGGCTTCTCTCCCGTATGGATCCGCTGATGGACTTTGAGGGCTGAGTGATAGCGGAAAGGTTTCCCACAGTCATCACATACATACAGCTTCTTTCCTGGCTGTGTCCTCTGCTGGTCCCCGAGAGGGGACTTCACAAGGGCTTTTCCACGTGCCTTATGTTCACGGCGTTTCTGTCTTCGGTTAGTTCTCTTTGAGTCAGTGAGCTGTGATTTCTGGAAGGTTTTCCCACGTTTACTACTTTTATGAGGTTTCTCTTGTGTATGGGTCCTCTGATGGTTAGTAAGTTGGGACTCCTGGCGAAAAGATTTCTTGCAATGACTGCATTCAAAGGTGTTCTCCCCTGTGCAAGTTCCAGGAGCTTGAGTGAGATGGGGCTTCTTGCTGGCACCCTCATTTTCACTGGCTTCCTGGGTTTTCTCCTCCATGTTAACTTGCTGGTCCTCACAAACCACTGATTTCTCACACCCATTAACTTCAGAGCAATCTGTCCTCATCTGACATTCTTGAGGGATGTCAGGGACTGACATGGCACTGGTACTTCCTGTGGGTTCCTCGTGGTCACAGGGCTTCTCTCCTGCCTCTGCCGTCTGGGGTGAGGTGGTGGCTGCCTGTTCAGGGGCGGCTTCTCCACCATCATTATCTTCCAAAGGTGGTCCCACAGCTTGAACTTCCTGTTGCTCAGTAAGACCCTCATTACCACCCAGAGATTCCTCACCGTGGTTACACGCATCAGACTTCTGCTCAGTCTGACTGTTTCCTTGCTCACAGTCAAGAGGCAACTTCCCATGTTCAGTGAGTGCACTGGAGTTCCTACTTGAATCCTTTTTATCAGTAACACTTGATTCTGAAATACATTTCTCACTCACTCCACGTGAGTCATTTTCACAGGGTGTTTTTCCTGAAGAAACAGGGTTTGTGTCCAGATTAAGTGTGTTTCCAGAAATGTTCTCTCTCTTCTTACTCAGTGTGTTGTGTAGGAGGGACGCACAGCACAAGTGTTCATCTGGGTTCTCCTGGCTTCTCTTTACCAGATCACTTAGCTTCTGGGCTTCTAGAAATGAGAAAAATTAAGTGTACATTAAAAACATTAACACATATCCACAATAGTGACTTGTTATATCACTGAATCCCTATTTTCAGGCCCAGGCTCCTGGGATGAAATCCCATGGCTTACATTTCTCCTTGGTTTAGAAAAATATAAGACACACCTGCTAGAGTAGAAGTGGACGAGTAAAACTAGCAATGAATACACATATATTTGCAATTTGAAAAAATATGACCTGCACAGCAGAAAAGAGAAGGGGAAATGAAATAGTGAGCTGAGGGCTGAGCACATCTGAGAAACCCACAAAAAAGGATAAGCACAAGAGGTGCAGTGAGAAGGGCGTCCTGGAGAAGGACCTCAGGGCGGCTTAGCTGAGGGGTAAGACATACCCATAGAGCCTGCTGTCCAGGTGCCAACAGATGAATACATTTATGTAAGCAAGGTACCCTTACAAAAATCCACAATCAATACCTCCTAAATAATCAATCACTCCCAAACACAAGTCACAAGTCTGACACATAATTTTACCCCCAGGGCTTACTGTTCTGGCTTTTGCTCCACTAAAACTTACATACCCTCCAGAAAATGCATTTCCGTCTCTCTCTCTCACCTTTTTAAAATCAGGCCTCTTAGCCTGCATTTTCTTAAAAAATTGGAAGCAGTCACTATGTACACTTTTCATTAACACAACTTTGGAAAGTATAAACTTTATCCCAATAGCACTTGATAAACAGTAAACTTCAAAATATTTCATACCATTTGTTTACTTGTCAGGATTATAACATATGCTCCTAGCAGGTGTTACTGTGCTCTCTCTAGTTGCCTTTGAATGGCTCTGAGTAGACACCTGGCCAGTGGTCCTCAACAAGCAATGTGCAATAGGGTTACTGGAAACTTTTATTCAAAACCTAGGGTATACTGTTATGGATGATATCAACCTATATTTTTATGACTTGGAATCTATGGGAATGTGATGTAGGCCTATGTACTCAAGAAATGCTTTCTACATAAACATATCTATTAATGCAACAGAAGAACATATCAATTATATATTACACATAAAAAGAATAATAAAAGGAGACCCTTCAAATGGTGATTAAAGCCTCAGGTAATAAACATATGGATGTCATACGGATGTCATGGGATATGATTAAGTCTGAGTCTCCTGAAGCTCAGTAACCAAAAAAAAAAGGGGGGGGGGACTTTATGAAGGGGAGATTAATTTTTTTTGTTTTAAAATTTTTTTAGTTGTAGTTGGACACAACAACTTTATTCTATTTATTTATTTTTATGTGGTGCTAAGGATCAAACCCAGGGCCTCGCACATGCTAGGCGAGCGCTCTACTGCTGAGCCACACAACCCCAGCCCAGAGATTAACGTTGACCAGAGTAATTAAGAAGCACTTCAAAACAAAGGTAAAGCTGGGTGCAGTGACGCACACCTGTAATCCCAGTGGGGGGCAGGAGGATCACGAGTTCTAAGCCAGTCTCAGCAACTTAATGAGGCCCTAAGTGATTCAGCAAGACCCTGTCTCTAAATAAAATACAAAAAAGGGCTGGGGATGTGGCTCAGTGGTTAAGCACCCTGGTTTCAATCCTTGGTACCAAAAAAAAAAAAAAACCAAATAAATAAAAAAGGTAAAAACTTTAGCACAAACAAGTCATGTGTAAAATAACACCTGGAACATCAACCACATGCCAGGCTCAGTACGAGCCCTTTCTCACAGATCCTGACTGGCAAACCTCAAGAAGAAGAGGCGAGGATGTTGTAATAATTAGTAATACTGGGCTGGGGATGTGGCTTAAGTGGTAGCGCGCTCACCTGGCATGCGCGGGGCTCTGGGTTCCATCCTCAACACCACATAAAAATAAAAAATAAAGATATTGTGTCCACCTAAAACTAAAAAAATAAATATTTCTTTAAAAAAATTAGTAATACTTAGGAGGTCAGGTCATATGGAACTTATAAGTTTTTGAGCAGTAACAACAACAACAAAATGAACACAGACTGGTGTGGTGTTTGTGTTACGAGGAGGTGTCTTGAACTGGGCATGGTGGTGCACACCTGTAATCCCAGCAACTTGGGAGGCTGAGACAGGAGAATTGAAAGTTCAAAACCAGCCTCAGCAACTTAGCAAGACCTTGTCAAAAAATAAAAAAGGGCTGGGGAGGTGGCTCTGTGGTTAAATGTCCTTGGGTTAAGTCTCCAGTACCTAAAAAAAACAAACAAAAAAAAAAAAAAAAACAAGAGGTGTCTTTAAAGAGGGCAACACTAGGTTTATAGTAGCCCAATGACAACACAAAATGGATTGATTTGCACTTAATATATATAGTTGTCCCTCAATATTAGAGAGGGGTTAGTTCCAGGACTCCTGGCACATGCCAGAATCTGATGCTCAAGTCCCTCATGTAACATGGCATAGTGTTTGACATAACCTACACACATCCTCCATCTCTAGATTTCTTAAACCATCTCTAGATTTCTTATAGTAACTAACACAATGCACATACTACATAAATAGTTGTTATACTATATTGTTTAGGGAATATTAAACAAAAATGTCTATGTATGTTCAGTACAAACACATTTTTTTTCATGGCAGGGGTACCGGGCATTGAACTCAGGGGTACTCAGCCACATTCCCCAGCCCTATTTTGTATTTTATTTAGAGACAGGGTCTCACTGAGTTGCTTAGTGCCTCACTTTTTGCTGAGGCTGGCTTTGAACTCGAGATCCTCAGCCTCAGCCTCCTGAGCCCCTGGGATTACAGGCATGCGACACTATGCCTAGCTCACATATTTTTGCTCCACAGTTGGTTCAATCTGTATCCAATGGGACCTGTGGATACAGAGGATCAATTGTGCTTACAGTTAGGAACTAAATGACCAAAGCACAAGAGAATAGGTTCTGGTTTTGAGTAAGGTCACCAGAAAATAAAAATAGTAGCTATAGAAGAATTTTCAAAGGAAAATTAAAACATATGAGGAACTACAGAAATCAGTATGATGGCCGGATGATTTTCATAGTTGTCAAGACAGAGCAGGAGATAAAAGGGTGCTGTCTCATTATGTGGAAATAAGGAATGTGAAAAGACAACATGGAGATGATGTGAAGGCTAGTCTTTGCCATTTTGATGATGAAGGACTGAAACAGCTCAGATAAAACTGAGAAAAAAGTACAGATGAGACCAGGAGGTAAAGGAGGCAGTTCTCAAAGCACCTGGTAAAGCAGAAAGCTGAAAGCTCAGGGACAGGTGAGGCCCTGGGAAAATGTTCTAAAGAGACAGCAGAAGACCTCTTCCCAGAGGAGTGATCATGTGATCAAGACTGCTTGAAAATGTGTCTAAATTTTTTTGCACTATTTAAATGTATAAAATACTTAATTGCATGAAAAGTAAAACACACACACACACACAACTGCTTTTTTGCCTGCTGTTTGGGAAATCCTTTCTTGCTTCAAGGTCACAGATATATTCCCCAGTATTTATAGTTATGACCATTGCTTTTGTCTGAGAGGAACAGGTTGGGCAAGTGAGAGGGGTATGGCTACCCCCAGGGGGCCTAGTTCTTCTGAGCCTTCAGAAATGCTTTGGTTATTTTGGACTTTGTTCTTCTTTACAAATTTTAATATTTCATATCTAATAATTCTAAAATCTGCAGTGCTTCGCATTTTGATTCTCTGCATTCTACTGGTTCCCACAAATGACTTGTTTCTTCCTCGGGGCCCACTAGCTTTCTGTTGTGAGCTTCCTTCTGGTACCTTTCACTTGGGAGTCCTGGGGGCTGAAGAGAGATCCATTCCTTGAGAGAACATGTGTTCTCAGCTGCTGGAGGCCAGGGAAAGCCATAACAGGAGCACGGATGGATCAGTCCAAGCTCCGGTGCCCTATCCTCATCTCCAAGACTCGCTGACCTGGGCCCCAGATGATGAGAACCTGCCCATGCCTTCCGACACCTCGATGGCATATCCATATCCATTTTCTGCTAAGTAAGCACTTCTTTGGCTTCATCTCACTTCTAGATTTCTGTTTTCTCTTGGGCATTACAGATTTCCCTTACATTTTAAACAGTCCAACCACGTGCTATCATAATTTACTAAGTTTCTAGTCCTATTGCACTGACAAGGCCCTACAGAGGGTCTGGTTTACTGTTTTGCTGGGAGTGGAGATCCTAGTCTTGCATGAACTCACACACAGCAAGATTTCACCAACCATCCCTTAGGGACTTCTCTTAAGAACAGTACACCACATTCAGCATTTAATTCTCAGTTTTCATCCTAATCTCTCCATATCAAGTAACACAGCTGAACTCCTCCTTTACTTTTTAAAAAAATTAAAATAATACATTCATACAGCTCAAACTTAAAGAGATAGAAACAAAACAAAACAACCCAGGAAGAATGCCATATGCAGTGGCACATGCCTGTCATTCCAGCAGCTTGTGAGGCCAAGGCAGGAGGATGGCAAGTTCAAAGCCAGGCCAGGACCCCAGAGCTCAGACTGATCCATCCATGCTCCTGTTATTGACTTTCCCTAGGCTCAGAAACTTAGCAAGATCCTGTCTCAAAATTAAGAATTAAAAAACAGGCAGGGGATGTGGTTCCATGGTTGAGCCAATGACCCTGGATTCAACCCCTGATATTAAAAAAACAACAACAACAACAAAGAATTCCCTCTTTCTAGTGCTGATCACCCACTAACTGCCTTCACAGGGCACTGGATGACTTTGGTTCCCTGAGCACCTATCAACAAGTCTGGTGAGTTACTGGTGTGCATGTAGATTACCCTAAGAGAACTGACATCTTTAGTACCCAAGTCTGCCTACCTTCCCGAGTGGCTTCCTAGCCAAGAATACAACATAATTGGAGTCTATTATATTCACAAGTAGTATTTTAATATTTATATATGTCTTTATACATTCATATCTGTATCGATAATTATATATATATATATAAAATTTCTTAATACGTTTGTTCCTAGCCTTTTTTCCCCTCTTTTTGTTGCTATTTTAAATAAAATCATTTCTTTTTTCTTATCTTCTGACTGGATGCTTTTCATCCAGGTGGAGCATACACATGGTAACAATTTTGTTTCTCCCTTTTAAATTTTTATGCCAATAACTTGCTTTATGGGCTTATTTTCTAATTCATTCAAAATAATATTAAATAATGGTAGTTATCAGAGACATCTTCATTGCTATGATTTAATAAGTCTATAATTCCTCATTAGGTATTAATGAGTTTGGATCGACATTTTTTTTTTTCATCTAGCCCAATTTTACTGTTTTTTTTTTTCAATTAAAAAAGGATGTTAAGTTGGTCACAGTGGCACAAGCCTAATCCCAGAGACTCAGGAGACTGAGGCAGGAGGATCACAAATTCAAAGCTAAATGAAAAATAAGTAAAAATAAAAGGGCTGGGGATGTGGGGATGTGAGAATGTGTCTCAGTGGTTAAGCACCCCTGGGTTCAATCCCTAATTTTTAAAAAGGGGGAAAAATAGTTAAATTTTATTTTAATGCCTTTTGAGCAGCCACAGAGAAATTTTTTCTTCCAGAATATTTTAATACATAGCACATTATCATTTAATTTGCTACTAACTGTATGTGCTAATGTTCTATTTGTGATTCTGACACTCGTATGTAAATAAAAATGACACAGACCAGGGGACCACATGCCAAACACTTCAAAGTTCATGGGCAACACAGGGTTTCTGTCCCACCTCCTCTACTACAAACTTTTTAAAATGTAAAAGCCATCCTGAGCTCCTGTTTCTGCTGGGTTTACTGAACATTTCTTAGTGTTCCATTTTAATTGATCTATTGGCTTGGGCTATCATTTCTTTGTATTTATTAAAAGGCTATTGTAGGGATGACAACACACACCCAACCACTTAGTCTACTCTGAGTTAACATTTCACCACAGCAAGTAAAGTGCAGAAACCTTACAACATACAGATCCTGTGTACACCACTCTGTTGTGGCCAGATACATCACCTCTGCAGACGTAGACATTGACGAACTCATTGCACAGTGATATGGTTTTCATTGTCAAGTCCTAAACTTTCCTTTTTTTTTTTTTTTTTTTGTGTGTGTAGCTAGGGATTGAATCCAGGACCTGGCACATACTAGGCAAGCACTCTACCACTAAGCCACATCCCCAGCCCAACAGCCATAAATATTCTAAAGAACTTATAAGAACAACTGCCATTTATATTTACACAGCTATTTATCATTACTGTTGCTTTTCCTTCATTTCAGGTTTCCCTCTAGTATAAATTACCTTCATCCTGAAATTTTAGGATTTTTAGAATGACTAGGGAGAATTTTTCTTAGTTTTCCTTCATTTCCATCATTCTTGAAATATATTTCACTGGATCTAGATCCTGAGTTGATGGTTCTTTTTGTTTTGCATATAAAGATGTTATTTCATTGTCCTCTGTCTATGGCTTCTGATGAAAAATCTACAGCCATTCAAACCATTCTTTTCCTGCCTGTAAAGTGCTGGTTTTCTCTGGCACCTTCAAGGTGTCTGACTTGTCTTTGGTTTGGGTGTTCTGACTATGGTGCTGCACCTGGGCCTTTTTGGCCACCTCTCTGTTACCCCCACCACTGCTCTCTGGTGCTTCCCTGCCACACATGTGCTGTCTCCCTGCTGCATTCACACACGTCAAGCACACTCTCATCCCAGAGCCTGGGGCCAGCTGTTCCCTCTGCCTGCTGCCCCCAGAGTCTGGGGACTTGCTTCCTGACTTCCCCCAACTGTCTGCTCAACTGCTGGTCTCTGTAATGGCATTCTCCAGCCACCGTCTCCTGTCATTGCTTCAAGAGCCTTCATTGTCTTGTCGCTGCTCAACACATACATCTGTTTAGTCATGTCCTCCTGCTAGCTTGTGTGGTCGACAAGTTCAGGGATACTGTACTCACCACCATGTCCCCAATGCCAAAAACGTGAGGGGCACATAGTGGGTCTTCAATGAATATCTGCAGAATGAATGCTTTAATTAGTTAATGCCTGGAGGTGGGAATCACATAGAAAAGCATTCATGAAAATGGAGGGAAAATGAATTCTAGAGAAGCTAAGAAAGAAGGTGTCAGATGCGGCAGGTGGGGTTTAGATTCTAGGTGTCAGAATAGTTAATGCCCCTAAAAGTTATGCACCAAGGGAAAGCGTCTATATTTACGAGTGGCAGATGGAAGAGTGCCCCAGGTTAACCAGGCCATTGTGGCCTGCGGTTCACTTACTTCCAAACGCCTGAGGTCTTTATCTAGAAGTTTCTGAGACACAGTCCAAAGGTTCCAACCCTAGAACTGACTCCCACTGGTTTCTTTTCTTGCCTGGTAACACTCACTTGGATAAGCCTGGCCTGGATGCTCTCCCTCTAATGTCCATGGATTTTCTCCTTGCTCCAACCTGAGGATCACGTCTGGTTTGGTGAGGCAATATCCTGTAATGAGACAGAGGTAGGACGTCTGAGGGCTGCCTGGACACGGTGGCCCTGCAAGACAGGAAGGTGCAACTTCGGAAGTCCTACAAAAAGGTGCCTATTTGAAGCTTTCACTGGGGAGGTAAGGACACAACGGTTCTGGCCATGACCATCTTTGACCCCAGAAACACACACAAAAATATCACCAAGCCCCACCAAGGGCTCTGACATTTTGGCAGAGCCACAAACTAAAGGAACAAATATACACTTTTGGGCATTGCACGGGGAAAACTCCTCACCCACGAAGACCAGGTGGCTGTAGTTCTCCAGTGTCACATCCCGGTACAGGATCCTCTGAGTACTGCTCAGGCATAGCCACTCGTCCCGGCTGAAATTCACAGTCACATCATCGAATGACACAGATCCCTGGACGGCACCTTCCTGGTCAATCTGGTGTGATCAGTATTGGGTCACATGAAAGAGATATGTGGAAAATAATCCTTAGCACATTTACTTTGAGAGTCTACCTTGAAACATTATGTAGGTTGCTAATTCCATATCTTATTCTGTTTATCTCTTTATTGGGGAATAAAGAGATAGCATGATAGAAATACCCAGTCAGTATACTTATTAACTCAAAAATTAAGATCCCACCATGTGTCTGAAACTCTTCTAGCTTCACAAGAATATTAAGTTAAATAAATCGTTTTTCCCTCCTGCCTTTAAGGAGCTTAAATTTTAGCAAGGAGTCATATCATAAGTATGAACATTTAACTTGTTCCAAGGAATTACAAGAGCTATGCTAGAATCATTTACTACCAGTGTGGATGCTGGGCACAGTGGCACATGCCTATAATCCCAGATACTTGGGAGGCTGAGGCAGGAGGATCACTAGTTGAAGGCCAATCTGGGCAACTCAAGAAGATTGTCTCAAAATAAAGTGTGGAGTGGGGTTTGGAGGTACGAGATATATAGCTCAGAGGTAGAACACCAATACAAAATAATCAGTGTCAAATAGCAGCAGAAAATATGGTCCTGTTTTACATAATCAGGCTGGGTTTCAGTGCATGGGACATCATTGCTAATGTGGCACAATTATGAACAAAGATGGAAGCAAAAAACACAGAGCAGATTGAAGCACAGAGCAGGATAAAGGAGAGCAGCCGAGGCTGGGAGAGGCTGAGAGCCATGAGGATCCTCAGGGTACACAGAGAGTAATCTTGATGTAGCCACTAGGTGCCCACACCAAAGAGACCCCCACCATAACTGTAACACATAAGCCTCTCTCCTACCAACAAGAGGTTGGCAAAGAATGTCAGCAGGATTTCTGCAGAGAACTCATGGTGGTTGGCAGCTTCCTCTGTCCTATAAAAGCCAGGTTTGCAACTAGATGGTGTCATAGACTCTGCCTCAGGAAAGGGTGCGATGCAAAGGTCAGAGAGCTTGTTGTTGTGCAAAGTTCCTGTTTCTATCTTCCTTAATAAAAACTTGTGAAACCTCTGTCTGACCTAAGAATACCAGATGTACCCGCCCACCATCATGCAGTCACCACACTGAGTATAAATCTAAAAGAATTTCCAAACCTGGGAGCCAGAGATTTTTAGGTATTAGCCCCTCTGGACCACTGCGGCTTAAATAAGCCTGCCTCCTAAAAATTACTGAGTGTCCAGCCTCATCTGTCCTGCATCAATCTGGACCCATCAGCACAGCTTAGCACACTCCAAAATCCTTGGCCACCCAAGCAATAAAATGTTGAGCAGCCCCAATTTATTTATATTTAAGTAAACAGTACGCATCCTGCCCATGCACACAATAATAAGCCCGATTTGCCTCTTTTTCTAGTTAATTGTTCATTGTAGCAATCTACTGTTTTCTTCCCATATGTCAGTGGTGTGTCCTGCCTAGGAGACAGGTGTGACTGCTGAGGACAGTGAGAAGCCAGCTGACCACAAAAGCAATGACAGGCCCCAGGAGAAGCTTCACATTTTACAAGAAATGATACTGCTGCAGTAACGTCCAGCAGGACTGTCTGCTATGGGGAAATGTCCTTCACCGGCACCTACAGGAAGCCAACCAGCTATGGGTGGTGACTGAGCACTTGAATGTGGGAAACATGGCTGAGGAAGTGAATCATTAATTTTACATTTTTCTTTTCTTGTAATTAGTTTAAATAAAATGTAAGTAGCCACATCTAGCTGGTGTCCACCACCCGGTCAACAATACAGAGAGAAATATGAAGAGTAGGAGGAGAAAAATAAGAGGAATAAGAGACCCACACGAAATTTCTAGACACACACACAAATATTGAAACAAAAAACGGATCAAAAAATCAGATATCAAAAAGATCAACGAAACCAAAAGTCACAGCAATAGAAACTTAAACAAAAAGAAGCACCTAAGAAAAACGAAAATGAAAATCAAATGACAGAGCACGACAGCCCCGTGGGACCTCATCAGACAGGCCACAGGGGTCACTGGAGATCCAGAAGTTGGGGTGGTGGGGGGGGGGACAGAAAATGTATTTAAAGAAATTAAAGCCAAAACTTTTCCAAATTAAACAAAACTATAAATCCATAGGTACAAGAAGTTCAAAGAACCCTGAAGAGAACAAATACAACTAAAAATACTCTAAGGTGTAGCACAATGAAACTGTTGAAAATCAGGGATGGAAAACTTAGACGTGGGAAGAGAAAGTGCTGCTTTCTCTTTCCTGTCTTTTTTTTAAAGACAGGAACGACAGCAGACCTCCCTCCAGAAACAGGAAACTGCACAAGACTAGAGAAGGACATTTAAAGTACTAATGAAGAAGAAGGAGAAAAAATATAACACTGACCTAGAATTCAGTATCAAGCAAAAAATATCTTGCCAAAAAAGAAGACAAAATAAACACTTTTACATAAAAGCAAAAGCGAGAGCATCTGTCACCACCAGACCTGTAACACAGGAAATGTTGAAGGAATTCAGAAGGAAAAGGGTGCCAGAGGAAAATTCAGATCTTCACAAACAGATGAAGCAAACCAAAAGACTACATGTTGGGTGCAGAGCAGGCTGAACTGTGTTGTCTGCAGGGCAGGCTGAGCAGATGTTGGCTGCAAGATAGCCCACGCACTCAAACCCCCCTCTATCTGGTCCTTTATCACCTGTTTGCCTCAAGTCTGAACATTCAACCCTGCTCAAGGCTGAACACTTAACCCCCCCTTGGGCCAACAAGGCAAATTGGAGACCCAGAGGCCCCATTAGATTTGGGCTATAAAAACTCCCTCCTGCCGGGCCCCTCTCTCTCTTGCTATCTCTCTTGCTTTCTCTGTCTCTCTCCTGCGTGCGCTTCCCCCCGCCCCCTCTCTCTCTTTCCTTCTTTCTTTTCTCTTTGTTGCACTGCTGCAATAAAGATGTTTTGGTTGCTCCGAGTGTTGTGGTCACTTTCCTTTCACTACACATATGTGTAAATATAAAAGACATGCCCCTACGATTTTTGGATTTTCAAGAAGATATTTAGCAACACAAGCAAATAATAATAATGCTAATAAACTCTAGGAATTAAGGACATGACAACAATACAAAGGCAAGAAAGAGGAAATTAAAGTATATGTATTGCTTAAAGGGAAAGTGAGGAATCAAATATGTATATGGTACACCCTGGAGCAACTACCAAATAAAAAAAAGAGGTATCCCTAAAATGCCTAAGGGAGTGAGAAAAGAAAACCCTAAGGGTACTGAAGACAATGAGGAATAAATTTAAAAAAGGAAATGGAGAGTAAAACAGACTGTAAGATGCTAACTATAAACCCACAGTGCCAAGAACACTAACTGTAAAAGTTAGGCTTCTGTTAAGGACGGGGATCATTAGAATAATAAAAACACAGGTGCCAACTACAGACTATCCCCAAGAAACTCACTTTACATATGAAAACAAAGAAAAAAACTTAAAAGATTGGGGAAATACACAAAAGGAAAACACAAATCAAAAGAAAGCTGCAGGGGATATAGCTTTGCCTCCCAGGCACAAGTCCGTGGGTTCAACCCCCAGCGCCACACACCCCTAGCGGTTCAGGAGTCTGAGGCAGGACGATCACAAGTTCAAAGCCAGCCTCAGCAACAGCAAGGCACTAGGCAACTCAGGGAAACCCTGTCTCTAAATAAAATACAAAATAGGGCTTGGGATGTGGCTCAGTAGTCAGTGCCCCTGAGTTCAACTCTGGTGCCCAAAAAAGAAAAGAAAAAAGAAAGCTGCAGTAACATATTCTCATCAGCCTAAAGAGAAGTCAATGTGAGAAACTCTCCAGGTGTAAGAGGGTCATAGAGGTCAATTCAGCATGTGATGTAATAATGCTACATGTGTTTGGACCTAAAAACAAAGAAAGGCTGTGCCCAACAACCCAGGGACCTGTCATAGGCCTTACCTCCAGAAAATTCCACAACTTCCCAAACACTGTGGAATCTTCTGGAGTTGAGACCAAGCCTTTAACACCTGGATGATCGACATCCAAGCTAAAGCACCATATTATTTTCTCAATGTAGAAAAAGAATCTGACAAAACCCAACATTGATTCCTAATTAAAAAACAAAAACAGCAACAACAACAAAAAAAAAACTGTCAGCAAACAGTATAAGGAAAAAAAAATGGGAACTTCCTCAAAGTGATAAAAAGGCATCTATGAAAAGTCTGTATCTGCCATCACAGAAAAAAATTAAATACTCAGTCCTGTACCCTTAAGATTAAAAATAAAAGCAAAAGGCCAGGCAATGGTGGCACACACCTATAATCCCAGCCACCTGGGTGGCTGAGGCAGGAAGATCACAAATTCAATGCCAGCCTGGACAACTTAGCAAAAACCTGTCTCTAAAAAGCGAAAAAGTCTGGGGAGCACAAATCTTAACACAAAAATAAAGACCATAAAACTGCTAGAAGAAAACATGAGAGAAAATTCAATGGCCTTGGCTCTGGCAAAGATTTCTTAAATATAGTGATGGAGGGGGGTATTAACTATCAATAATCAAAACAATGTATCAAACTGTATACCATCAAAATGAAAATCTTTTGCTGTTTAAAAAATACTGATTGGGGCTGGGGATGTGGCTCAAGTGGTAGCGCGCTCGCCTGGCATGCGTGCGGCCCGGGTTCGATCCTCAGCACCACATACAAACAAAGATGTTGTGCCCGCCGATAACTAAAAAATAAAAATATTAAAAATTAAAAAAAAATAAAATAAAAAAAAATTAAAAATACTGATTGTTAGATATGGAAAATGACAAACCCCAAAATATTATAGTCTGGGAAAGGGGAATGCAAAGAAAAGCAGCACATTGATGGCACTGATTCTTTCCCAGTGACAGAACAATCCCTAGAGAGGAAGCCAGAGCTTTATCCTTCCCCAAATAAATCCTTTCCCAGTGACAAAGGGACCCTGAAGGGAAAGAAAGAAGCTCTGAATGCTGACCCCAGGCACCCCCCCATTCTTCTCTAAGTAAAAATGTTGCCCAGTAAAAACAAATTTTCAAATTCTCATAATCCTGTTTCCTGAGCTCCCAAAACTGACCACTGACCCCAGACTCCCTCCCATTTCACCCAGTAAAACAGACCCCAAATTCCTAAGTGTCCCAAACTGACAAGCTTGTTCAGTCATATCTCAGTATAGGAGCCCAGTCCCTTTCCTTGTCCAGTGGCTCATTTTCCTCCAGGAGACTGAGTCCACCGGCGTCAACCTGTTCCTGCATGAAACCTTGTCCCTGAATAAACAGCATCCGTCCCAGTCCTTTTGTGCTAACACTGATAAGATAAAAAGGCAAGGCACAAACAAGGAGAAATATTTTCAAAAATGGTATCTAGTTGGGTATGGTGGTGCACCACCCCTGTAATTCCAGCGACTTGGGAGGCTGACACAGGAGAATCACAAATTCAAGGCCAGCCTCAGAAACTTAGCAAGACCCTAGGTAACTTAGTGAGATCCTGTCTCAAAATAAAAAAGGGCTGAGGATGTGGCTCAGTAGTTTAGCACTTCTGGGTTCAATTCCCATACCCTCCAAGTGTGTGTGTGTGTGTGTGTGTGTAACATATACATGAAATATGATGACCAAATTAGATTGATTCCAAGAATGCAAGATTGGGTTAATATTTGAAATGTGATCAATGAAATTAAGCTTAGAGAATAAAGGAAAAAGCACATAATCTACAAGGGAGCACTAGATAAAATTGAACACCCATTCATGATAAAACCTTAACAAATTAAGAAAAAAACTGCCTTAATCTGATTAAACAACCAATATACTTAATGATGAAAAATGGAAAAATCTTCCACAGACACTAAGAAGGAGACAACAATTTCAGCTTTAATTTGTAAGGTAAAACAATAAGGATTCCAGAAGAAACAAATACTTTTAGAACCTTGGGATAGGAAGCTACTTTATAAACGGGATGCAAAAAAGACCTATTCCTAAAGGAAAAGAAAGCCACACCCCATTAAAATTAGGAATTTCTGTTAATCAAGTCAACATTAAGAAAGTAAAGAGTCACAGATTTTCTCTAGTACTGTGTGTCTTAGTCTGTATCCTGCTGTGAGAATCCCTGGACTGGTAACTGTGAAGAACAGAGATTTATTCAGCTAGTGATTCTGCAGTCTGGTGAGGGCCTCCTAATACCTCTTAACACTGTTATAATGGCAATTAAATTTCAGCCCACATTCTGGAGGGAACATTCAAACCACATATAAATGACAAAGCACACCTCTTAGGATTACATAGAGAGTTCCCATTAATTTATACACACTGTCAGGAAAAATGGGCAAAAGATATGAACAGGAGCCTCACAAATAAGGGTATTCAAATGACTCAGACTGAGGGAAGGATGCTGAACACACTAATGAAAACTGCACCCTGGAAGACCAAAACAGCACTCAGAGATGGGAATGGAGAGCCCAAATCTCCTGGGTGGCCACTCAGCTCAGATAGGGCATCCATTCAGTAAGAGTCTGCTTCCAAACAAGATCAAGCTGACCACATGTTTAGTCCACCCACAAGTGTGTAATGAGCAAGAGGACGCAACCCAGGGAGAGGACCTTCAGAACGCTCTCTACTGAGTCCGGGATGCTTTGGCCCCCAATATGATCTGAGTTCTACCCTCCACTTAGAACAAAGAACAATCACAGGCAACAGACAGGTTTATTACAGGGTTCTCCACTCCATGAAGTCCTTTAAGCACTTCAAAGCAGGAAGTCCTGCCCAGGAAGTCCTGTCCCAGGAGTAACTGTTTGGTCTCTGCTGACTACCATATGCAGATTAGGATGATGCTGAACTTCCATGACTGTGGGATCATGACCTACAAAGATCTACTAGAGCCTTGCCTGTTCATCACTGGCCACTCACTCACCTGACCCTGAAGTGGCTTTTTAAAATGTTCATCTTAATATACAAACACTTATAAAATATCATACCAAAAACACTTATAAAAGCCATGAAATCTCATAGCAGCTAAATAGGAAGAAAAGAAACAATTCACCTGAGATTTGTTCATTTTCTGATATTCCTCTAAGAGCTCAGAAACCTGTTCTTCAAAGAGCAAACCTGGAAGAGGAGGAAAGAGGAAAAGAATGAGATCTATCAGGGCTGCACTTGCTAAGTTCTCCCTAAAACCCCTACACACCAGCGTGTGACCTTTGATTCTGCACAAGGACAGCAGGGAAACATCCTGACGTCCCTTTGCCACTCCAATCTGATTTCATGAAGCTTAATTAAGCCTATAATGCTTATCAGTGCATGTCCCCTCTTACTAATACATATTTGAACAGAACTGATTGCAAAAAGGCCAGCATCTCAGGAGATGACCTACCACGCCTACATGAAAACTGAGATACAGTTTGGGGGTGGGCAGCTTCAAGGCTGTTCTTTTACTATGAATAATGTTAATACTTGAATATGAGAATCCACATAAAGTTTTGGGGGAAAGGCTAGGTGTTATAAGCATAGATCTTTCATAAAAACTGTCAGTTCTAATTTAACTGTAGGTGGCTAGGGACATAGCTCAGTTGGTAGAGTACCTGCCTCCCATACATAAGGCCCTGGGTTCAATCCCTAGCACCACACACACACACACACACTCACACACACACACAAAGTAAATTTAATTTGACTGTAGTTTCCCAAAAGGATCTTTTAATTGCAACATATTTCAATTTTACTCTGTGGATAGCATTGGAGGACTCAGACTTCTATTCTGGAGCTACTAATCTGAAACAAGCCATTTCCCATTTTTTTTTTAAGAGAGAGAGAGAGAGGGAGAGGGAGAGGGAGGGAGGGAGGGAGAGAGAGAGAGAGAGAGAGAGAGAGAGAGAGAGAGAGAGAGAGAATTTTAATATTTATTTTTTTTAGTTATCAGCGGACACAACATCTTTGTTTGTATGTTTGTATGTGGTGCTGAGGATCCAACCCGGGCGGGCCGCACGCATGCCAGGCGAGCGCGCTACCACTTGAGCCAGCCCAAGTCATTTCCCATTTGAGGTCTCACCCTACCCACACACACATTTTTTTTTTCTTTCCTTCTTTCAAAATAGAGAAAATTTGATAGCCTGGCAAATCTTCCCTGGGCTACTCCTCCTCTGACCCCATAAGGTCAAGAAAGACTAAATCCACCACATCTCTGGTGCCAGACACGGTGATGGTGGTTAACAGCTGCCTGGCTTCTGTAAAGAATTAGAGGCGAATAAAGGCGGGGGGCGGGGGCATGCTGTTTAGGGTAAGCTAAAGATAGAAGCTTCCCCTGAGCATCCTGCCAAAGAGTGAGGTGGCCTTTCTCGCACTGTCCGGCCCTGGCCACCACTCAGTCCTGGCTCCCTTCTGTCTGCCAAATGACTCACAGTCTTTAATGGCTTCCGAACGTGGTGAAATCACTCAAGCCTCATCCCTTTTCTAGGTCTCTTCGGCCCCTTCTCAGAAACTCTTGACAGATCTCGAATCAGAGGTTTGGGGGGACGGGGGTGCCTGTCATACCTGTCCCTGAAGCCCCCTCCTCATCACAGTAATTGCTTTGTTCCAGCAGGGTCCAGGGCGCAAACTCACTTTGGCTGGAACTTTCCCGGGAGCCCCAGATGTGTTTAAGAATACAGTTCCAGAAACCTGAGGCCGTAGCCTCCACAGACACAAAGCAGGACCGTTAGGGACAAAGCCAGGCTGGCCACGTCCCAGGCAGACGCTTCTACCGAACAGCGCCGGGAAGGCGCAGGACTAGTGCAGAGCAGCCCGGAGACCCAGGAAGCCCGAGCGCCGCAGATGCAACAGCCGAGACGCGGCCGCCAGCGCTGTACAGGGACGCGGGCTGCCCGAGCGCGGGCTCCGCCAGCCTGCCAACTCCTGCCCCGCAGCGCGCGGCGCGGACACCTGTTCCACCTCACCTGCCCGCCGCCGGCCGGAATCCGCAGCTGCTGGCCGCCGGCTCCAAGCGCGCGGACTTGGAGCGCGTCGCCTCCGCAGCGGCCGCGGACTGAGACCCCCACCGCGAGAGCCCCTCCGCGCGCGCCGGGCCTCCTGCGACCCTACGCGGGGCCCACGGCCCGGCTAGGGAAGGCTGACATCCCGCGCTCCCCGCGTGCCCTCCCCACAGCCTCAGAGGCTCACCCGTTGCCCCGCGCGCGACCACGTCCCACCAGGCCGAGACTGTGAGGAGCGAGCGCCTGCGCACAGAACCCGACCCGCTCCCGCCGGGCCCGGTACGGAAGGCTCCGCCCATGGGCGGGACCAGTGCAGGCCCGCCCCTCTTTACCAGTCTGGGCGGGGTCTCTGCACACCCCCTGCTCCCGCTCTTCACCCCTTTTCATCGCTGCTCTCACATCTACGACATTACCTCATCCCTCACACCCCAGTTCACCCCAGCCCTCTCCACATCCTGTCACCCCCCACATCCCCTCCCTGCTCTCCCTTCACCCCACATCCTCTCCACCCTCTCCCATTCCCTCAGGTCCCTTCCCTCCTCTCCCTTGCCCCACATCACCTCCACCCCGCTCCCCTCTGCCTCGTCCGCAGGTCTCCCCGCAGCCTCCAAGCTTGGGAGAGATTCAGGAATGCAGGTGAAAATGTAATCAAATTAACCCAGCCAAGATAATTAAATAATTATTTTTAAATGTGAATGAAAAGGAAAGGGAAGACAAATTTCAAAAAGCAATACATGAAAATTGAAGGTATATCAATAGACCCTCAAACGAAAAGAAGAGAGACGATTGGGGATGTGGTGCAAGCGGTAACGCGCTCACCTGGCATGTGCTGGGCGCTGGGTTCGATCCTCAGCACCACATAAAATAGAATAAGGACGTTTGTTCTTTATTTATTAAAATAGAATAAAGATGTTGTGTCCACCGAAAACTAAAAATAAATATTTTTTAAAAAACCTCTCTCTCTCTCTAAAAAAAAAAAAAAGAAGAAGAAGAAGAAAGAGGATGTTGTCACATATTCTCACAGACAGATTGGTGTTGACCCCTCTTAGGCACGCACCTGACATTTTTAACATTAAATAAGTAAACAAAGGATCCTAAGAAGCCAGAGAAGAGGTTTGGGACAAAGGCGAACTGGAAGGACCTCTAGTGGGAAAGTTCACGTTCACTAACCGGTTTGCACTCTCAACACTGTTAAGGCTAAATCCCGGGTTCACACTTTAGAGAAAAAATTTACTTGGATCCCACATTTTAAAGTTCAAAAGTTAATTCCTAAAACAAAAGTGAATTTTATAATATAACATCCATCGATGGGGATGACAACAGAATGAGAAATCATTAAGCCAAAACGGATTTTTATTTGAGAAAATTAAACCTTTCCCTTCCGTTTAAAAAAACGGAACAAAGTTTAGAGACAAACTAGGAAAGGCTCTTTGTAACACACATGAGAAGCAAAGGCTTTATCACCTGAATTTATAAATAGCTCTTATAAATCAATGAAAAGGTCAGCATTATCATCTAGCTCACTAGTGAGAGAAATGGAAAGGAATAAAAGACAAAATGCAAATAAACAATAAATATATGAGAAAGTTCATCATGACAAAGAAAAAAATATTCACCAAATATTTTTGGAAAGTAAAATTTAAAGAGAATTAAAATTATAGTAATATTCAGGGTAGGTACAGATTTAAAGAAATATTCACTTCCCAGGTGACAATTATAAAGGTAATTTTCACAAACTTTCTGGAACCTACTCTACATCAATAATAAAAACATCCTTTAACTGTGGGGAGCCATTCTCACACGTGACTGGGCAACTCCCGGTTTGGGTCTGAGGCCTCTGGCTAAACTGTGTGGGAGCTTTCCCGACCCTCTCCTGGTGAGAGAGCCTATCCCTGTGGGGGTGTGACTTGACCACTGACCCTGGGGCCAATCACTGACCCTGACCTTGGAGTGCTGCCCCCCTCAACCTTCATTGGATGGAATTCTCCCCTGAATTTCTTGTTCCCCAAGAAAAGGCTTGCCGCAGTCTGGCTGCAGCAGAATAACCCGAGGGGGTGACGAACAACTTGTATACTTTGATACAGCTGGAGTAGGAGCCATTTATTGCAGGACAGGAGCAGTATTTATACATTCCACACAATTTATCTAATTAGCATAAACTAGATACATCAGTCAACCAATAAGGAATCTCCACACTTAATGGCTCGCTTTTGTTACTTCTCAAACCACTCCCTCTGGCATTTTGCCAGGCACCATCCAGACTTGTTTAGGAACTCTAACATCCCCCTGGCAAAATGCCAGGTGTTATTTTGACTTGTTTACAGACTCTAACAAAGGCTACTCCCTGGCGTGCTCCCTCTCTCTCTCTCTCCTGCTAGCCCTGAGTAATCCCTGCTGCCCTACTGGGTGGTTCCAGGTGGGAGCCAGAGGGGGAGCCATCTGGGACCTGGTTATAGAAAAAGGTAACTGAGTCTGTGTGTTTATTTCAATCTCACTAGTTAACTTTTATGCCAAGAACCAGCGCACTGGTTGCATGGTGGATTTTGACCTAGCAATTCTACTTCTAGGAGTGGATATTAATGAAATAATTGTCCAAAGATGTGTGTAAGAATCTTGTTCGCAGTTTAATGACAGAAAAAAAATGGAACTTAAATTTAGACAATTTATCTGGGTGTGGTGGAGCATGCTTGTAATTCCAGCAACTCTGGAGGCTGGGCCAGGAGGATGGCAAGTTTAGAGCCAGTTTCAGCAACTTAATGAGGCCTAAGCAACTTACCCAGAACTTCATTTCAAAATAAAAAGGGCGGGGGTGTGGTTCAGCGGTCAAGTACCCCTGGATTCAATCCCTGGTACCAAAAAGAAAAAAAATTAGACAATTTAAATGTTTAACCACATGAATATGTAAAAATAAATTGTGAAAGGTAATTCAAAATAATAACGCAAACTAAGCTAACTCATCTGTAAGGATGTTCATAATCAAATTTGGAATCATTATTTAACCAAAGACATAGATAGAACCCCAAGGAGCTGGGGTTATGGTTCAGCAGTAGAATGCTTGCCTTGAACATGTGAGGCCCTAGGTTCAATCCTCAGCACCACATAAAAATAAATAAATAAAGGTATTGTGTCCTACAACTAAAAAATAAATATTAAAAAGATAGAATTCCGTTTTTAAAAAATTGCACATATGCTTTTTGGAGAATAAAACTAGATAACGTGTAAAAAAAACAAAACAAAACAGTAAATAGGCCAGGTGCCATGACACTCACCTGTAATCCCAGAGACTGGGGACACTGAGGCAAAAGGATTACCAGTTCAAAGTCAGCCTCAGCAATTTAGCAAGAACCCTAAAGGACTTAATTTCCATATATCAACTCAAAGGGCACCACACTGCAGCAATGTCAGCTTTGATTTTTTTTTTTGTACCAGGGATTGAACCCAGGAGGCAGTTACCCACTGAGCCATATCCCTAGCCCTTTTTTGTATCTTGTTTAGAGACAGGGTCTCACTGAGTTGCGTAGGGTCTCACTGAATTGCTGAGGCTGACTTGAACTCACGGTCCTCCTGCCTCAGTCTCCAGAACCACCGAGATTACAGGTGTGTGCCACTGTGCCGTGCAATAGTCTAGGATTCTTGACAATTTTAAAAAATATATAATTTCAGTTCCAGGGCTTACCATTCATTTCATTAGCATTATTTCAAATTACATAATCCAAAATACCATGGGTGTGTGACAGCTCTCTTATGTTTTCTCTATAGCTACCATAAGTGGATACAGAGTCATAGGAAAGCCCAGGAAGTCTGCATAAGTAATTAGTAAGAGGGATATCCTCAGAGGAGGGGTGCTGGGAGCCATTAGCCAAGTAGGTATGACAATTTCCTTGCCAGCGTACCCCATGTTGCAGTGACATTGAATGTAGGTGACCTTGCTCAAGGACCAGGGCGGATTAGGGTGTTCCGGGTTTAAGATAATCGTGTTTAGGGCGTTCCCAGTTTAGGTTCCAGGTTTAAGGTTTAAGATTATTCCTCCTGGGAATAGGGCGTATCCTGCTGCCTGAGTTCCCCTTGAGTTCTCACGGGATTCAGACAGTATATTTGGGAGACAGAAGCCCAGTGGAGGTGGATTTGGGCAGAGATCGTGGATTTCCCCAGAACGTGATTGTAGACGGCTGGTGTGAGTTCGGGAATAAAGAGTTGCTGTTTGAATCTACAAGCTGTGTGGTGGCTCGTGATTGTGTGCCCAGCCAGACTGCGGCAGAGGGGGTTTATGTTGTCTTAAGGAGACTTTAAATTTATCTGCAAATATTTACTTTTTTTCACAGGGAAGCTGGCGATGTATCTCAGTGGTAAATCACTTGCCAAATTATAGTCAATTCTTATTTATGAAATGTCACAGTCTAAGGTAGCACAGCATAGTAATCCTGCCCCCCAAAAGTGGGCATTTGCTCACATTTTCAAAGAGGATTCCAAGCTGGGGCAGAGCAAAGGACCTTAACCAAGGTCACCTAGTGCCCTGCGCTGTAGGTGTGGAATTTACTATGTGCCAACGTGGTATCAGGGAGACAGAACAGCTTTATGTGTGTGTTTGCACAAAGTGTTTTTAAAAGTGTCTAAGAGACAGTTCTACAGAGGGTTAAGGGCTGGAGCTCCACAATCAGGCTGCCTTTCCTATCAGACCTCAGTTCTCCAGCTCTTAGGACAAGCCATTGTGCCTCAGTTTCCTCCCACTTTTCTGGAAGGACTGTGAACTAAGTGAGCAATGCCTGGAAGAAAGCCTCGGCAGTTAGCCTAGCCACTAGAGTACCACGGGCACAGGATTTTTCTGTTAAAAAATTAGACCATGCACATTCCTCTGTAACTTGCCTTCTTTCATCTACAATATGTCATGGACATCTGCCCACACTGGTAATACAGGACTGTAATTTGTTCTAATTGGTGGTAAATATTCAATAGCCCAGATGTACATACATTATTTGACTGATCTATAGTATTGGAATTTAGCCTTCAGTTTATGCTGAAGGCTACAAACTCCAATTTACAAAGGCAAATATATAAAGGCAGCCCATAGAGACTGAGCCAAAGTCTCAGTTCTCTCTCTTCCGAGCATGTGACACAAAAAGGTGCCTTGTCTTCATGTACCTTTTCTTACTGGGGAAAGTGAGGAGAAGGGAGCTGTTTTGAGAACTCACTGAATAGAGAAAACATAAGCACTAATCATGTATATTATTATGGTTATTGTTCCTTATTTTGCTCTTTTTTTCTAGTGGATAAGTTGCAAGAAG